GTAGCTTTCAGTGTTCTTTTAAATCTGCTCCTCAGTCGCATCTTTTCGGGGTCTACTGCTGCCTCTAGTGGCGTGGGGGTGGTAACACAACTAATTTAATTATATTATTAAATCAGAAAACCACAAAGTCTTTATTATTTATTAATTCTGGCATTACTGGACCCGTAAAAGATAAGTTCCCTCACAAAAGAACACACCTTTTCATTTTCTTATGGAAGTAGAGGTAATTAAATGAGATAAACAAAATCTGAAAGTGGTTCCAGTTTTACTTGATGACTAACCTGTTGAAACTCTGGCAAATGTTAAATTCCTTGTGTCGTTCTTGGACAATCAGCTTAACTTTGGTCACTAAACACCTAAACTCTAAACACCTGAACACCTGAACACTGAACACTGAACACCTGAACACTGAACACTAAACACCTGAACACTGAACTGAAACATTGACTGTATCTTTAAGAACTGTTCTCAGAGATGCTATCTTTAAAAAGACCCAATGATCTTGGGGGTTATCCAACCAGAGGTTATGTACAACCTCTGGTTAGGTAGAGGTCATTGAGTTAAAACGTTAACATTCTAACTTGAGTTTTAGTTCAACTCGAGTTAAAATGTTTTATCTTAAGTTTTAACTTTTCATCTTCTCAGCTGGTTTGGTCTCATGAGCTGCAGACTAACAGTCAGTCTTTTAAGAACTTTCAATGGTAGGTATAACTGCAGGTAAATGGTGGTGAAACCAAAAGCAAGTGTGTTTCAACTGTTTGCTGAAAGATGATGGAAGATGCAGGAATATTTTAGCAGAGAGCATCCATCCTCTTTCTTCATCAGTTTGACCCTCTGAGCTCATGAAGTCGTTACAGTTTTTCTCTGGTAACTAACAATCTATTAGAAATCATTTATTAACTGGGCAATAATTATTCTTAACCAAACTAAATAACATTTATCTTTAAGGTTGGTAAAGTATTTTGCTCTATTCACAAATTGTTGATAATGTGATTCTATGAATATGATTTGTCGTTTTATAGTCGAAGGAAAATTTCCACATTGATAGACTATATAGTTTCATCTTATTTTTTTCTATAGTTGAGACTGTCAATAAAACGTCTCAGAATAATACACATGACAGCATAAAAAACAAAAATGTGATTTTTGCTTGTATCTGTTTAACAACCCTGGTTGTAACAACCTGGGTTATTCTTCTGTGAACCTAATTCATTTGTTTGTTATTGACTTTTGCTCAATTAAATTTCTTGCATATACTGCAAATGGTATTTTATTATAGCTGATCATGTTTTTTTATGGACCAAAACTGACCTAATAAGAAATAAAAGCATAAATATATATTTAGTTTTTCATTGTCTTTACACATGAGTTTCTGTCAAGAAATTAATATATTTTTTATTTCATTTCCCCTAAACATGCTTTTATGTCAAGAAAAGTAGATCTTATACAAGCCCTTCTTCTTTTGTCATTCCCTCCTCTCCTTTTTCTGTTTGTCTTTTTTCTATTTGTACTTTTTCTACTTGTCCTTTTTCTGCTTCTCTGTGTGCATCTTTATGTTAATGAGGAGAGCTGCTTTCTATGTCCAGCTCCTCTACTATTGGACAATAGAGCTTTGGATTTGGAATGGACATCACTGCGTAAGACGTTGGGCGTTTACGTCTCGCGCAGTTGCTCATTGCCATCTTTACAGGCCACAGACCAAAACAAACTCTATCCCAGTGTTTTTATTGTGTTACTGACCGCAGTTACATTGGTTTTGGATAGTCCAATAGTCCACCAACATTTTTTTACAATACTCTAGCCTAAGTCAACATGATGGAATTGCGAGAAAATCTTGGCCCAATTGCAGTAAAATCCCCCCTGATGACTGGACAGCACCCCGTTTACATGCCTGTGTTCTCGTTACGGGCATGTTCAGGTCACAGTAGTAGTATATCTAATACATCTATAGTTGATATGTAACATCGTTGAAATGGTTCAGATTAAATTCTGCTAAAATGGGTTTCATAGTTGTCCTGTAATGAGTGGTTTTTGGCGCCCCCTACTGGTTGCCTATAAAAGGAGGAGAAACTGCAGATTCCACACAGCCTGTTAGGCACTCTACTGTGATAGGTCATCAAGTCCAGTTCCTTTCTGAACAGTAGTGGTGGTTGTGCTCTGAGACTAACGTGGAGTTTTGTTGCAGTACCCAGAACTGGTGGACCAGTAGGGAGACTCACTGTGCTGTTTGTTATTAACCACTCATTACAGGTAATTATGTTATATTAAATGTCAGAAATGTATGTTGTCAGTTTTTTTCAGTTAAGTTTGTCAGTTGTTTATTATGTTGTTGGTTTGCTGTGTTTGCCCGTCTGTCAGTCTGTTTGTTCTCCGTTTCATTTAGAGGTTGCTGTTAAATAGTTCATTAGTTAAATTTGACTGTTGTCTATGTTTATTTTTCTGATTTTTCTTTATTTATAAGAGAAAGACCCGGTTGTTTGAATTTTATTTAAAGGTTGTACTATCACTCAAAATCCACTATATGATCACCTGTTACAAAAATGTGTTGTTGGACCCGATTGTAGTGATTATTTGTAGGACACAGTCTGTTCAGCACTCTACTGTGTACCCAGAACTAGTGGACCAGTGGGGAGGCTCACTGTGCTGTTTATTGTTGGACATTCATTACAGAAATTCAACCAACTAGCCTCCGCTGTGTGCTGTATGTGGGGGAAGAAGTCACACATATATGAAAACTGCTTTTTAAACTTACTGTCTCTTTTTCTCGGCCAGTCCTCTTACACATTACCAAAAAGGTCCTCGTGTGTGATCAGACACTACACCGACTTAAGAGTGTGGCCAGAGCTTTGACCATCACACTCTGCATAAATGCCTGAACAGATTTGGGAGCTGCATTTTGGATTATTGTCTGGTTAAAATATCCTTCCCCAGTGTATGTCCAACTTTGTAAGTGATTCTTCAAAATTATCCTTAAGAATCTGCTGATAATGAGTGCATCCATGCGACCCTCAACTTTAATGAGATTGCCAGTACCGGCCACCCAAACCCAAAGCATGATGGAACCTCCATGAAATTTTGTGGACAACAAGTGATTTTCTTGGAATGATGATGTTATGCATGACTTTTGGCCGCCATGCATAATGTCCTTTGTTGAGACCAAACATTAGATCACTTCTTATTCCAAAATGAAGCTGGCTTGTCTAAACATGCTTTTCCATACCTCAAGCAACTTGTGCTGTCAGATCAATCTCAACAATTGTGCAAAGTGTGCACAATTGTTGAATGATGCACAGTGACATCAGCTGCTGTACGATGATGTAGGTTTTTGGAGGTTGTTGGTGGGTTGTCTTGACTGCCACCAACAAGACGAAAAATATCTTCTCTGATATTTTTCTTGGCCTTCCACTTGTGGGCTTAACAAGAACTGCCCATGTGGTCCTCCATTTCCTTAATATGTTGTTACGGCCCGGCTCGGAAGGCCGCAACAAAATTAGGAGGACACGGCAATCAGTCAGTGTTAGGCCTGTGAGGGGGATTTATTTTTAAAAGAGTCAAAATATCTAGGAGACGGTAATAGATGGCCCAAGGGGTGATCGACCCGCGCCCCTTCAGTCCGGTCTCTTCACACCAGGAGGCCCGGGACTCATCCTGGCCTGGAACCCCGGGTCGTCTGTGCGTGCTTGCTTCTGTCAGTCCCCATGAATGGAACAGCGCTCCTTATCTACCATCCAGATGTCTGTAATGGAAGCACCTCCCACATTGAAGACCTTAATTGATAGTTAGTAAATTATCACATAACACACACACAGAGGACTGCACAGCAGGGCCATCACAATGTTTATCACAGTGGAAACTGACAGCTAAAATCTCTGAGATAGCGTTTTTCTGTCCTAAATCAGAACATTGAGCAATCTATGTTTTTAGGCCATTTGAAAATTGTTTGAGGCCCCAATGTTGCCACTTTTCAGAAATGTAAAGAAGAGATCAATTTGCAATTAATAATTATTCTTTACCTTATAAATAATCAAGGTATCCAACCATCCATCCGTCCATCCATTTTCTTCTACTTATCTGGGGTCGGGTCCCCAGCCACTTGTTCCAGCTCCTCTGGCAGTATCCCAAGGCATTCCCGGGCCAGCCTAGAGACATAGTCCCTTAAGGGTCTCCTGGGTCTTCCCTGGGGCCTCAGATGCCCGAGCCACCTCAACTGGGTCCTCTCGACATGAAGGAGCAGCGGCTCTACTTTGAGTCTCTCCCGGATGGCCGAGTTTCTCACTCTATCTCTAAGGGACAGCCCAGCCACCTCTACAGAGAAAACCATCTTGAATATGGTACTTAATTGTATCAATTAAGGCAATTAATTACTTTAAATAAGACAATAATACCTTAAATAATTATGGTAATTATTACCTTAATTAATTAATTAAGGTAAGGTAATTGTAGCAATGCTAAAATGTAAAGTAGCAATATAGGTGTTTCCACTTTCTAAGCTGTGGACTACAAAAAAATTTGCAGTTAAATGTTTCACAAATAATTTATGTTCCATAGAATACTCCACAAATACTGAATCGCAAAAACGGGTGGGAATCCATTGTGGATCCTGAAGTCCACCCATCTATTCTAGAAGTTGTAAGGAACACTAGGGTCAGCCAGTAAGCACTAACATCTCTACAATAACACTGTGACTTTCTCTCACTATGGAACTATCAAGCCTTTCACAGCATTTCTGCAGTGAGTTTTGGCTCTTCTGATTTCCTTCCAGTTGGATGTGCCAAATTACTAAAATAATTGGAACTTATAGGCGCCTTACTCAGCCCTTTAATTGCAGTAGTAGTAGTTATGACTTGCTCTGGGCTCAGGTCTAATGTCTGAACTTCTCAACCCTCCCACTCACCAAAGTAAACTCTGTTATCCTCTTCTGTCAGAGTACAGTCCTTATGATTACTTTGAGTTCCAGCCAAATAAGTTGCATAGTAATACGTTCTTTTCTGTGTCCACAGGGAGATGGTGAATGCCTGGTTTGCTGAGCGTGCTCATACCATCCAACCATCTGTCCCGAAAGAAAACTGTTCCCAGCAGGGAACTCACCAATCCTCCTCAGATATTTGCCCCTCTTCTAACTCCACCACCCTCCTGGAGACCTGCTGCCCTCCCCCTGCCACCGTACCTAGCCCAGTTCCTGGTACCCCAACTCGTAAAATCTCAGCTTCAGAGTTTGACCGCCCACTAAGACCCATTGTGGTCAAAGACTCTGAGGGGTCCCTCACATTTCTGAGTGACTCAGAACGGGAACCCGTCCCTCTTTGTGGTTCTGTGATGGGAGATGGTGATGATCGGAGTGGCAAGGAGGTTGATCGCTGCACCAGACTGTTGGAACTCGTAAAGGAAGTATCAAGTTATCTGGATGTGACAGCGCTCTGCCATAAGATCTTCCTACACATCAATGAGCTGATCACTGCAGACCGATACTCACTCTTTCTGGTAGGAACCTTTAACTGTCGCTCTGCCATCAATTACGTATAAGAAAAGCTAGATTAATGCAAGCTCATGCTTATCTAACACCTTATTTTTAAGTGAATCCCAAAACCAGGAACCACATTCAGAATGAATCCAAAAGTTTTCAATCCAATGATTTTATTGCCACAATAGCACAAATTGTAATATTTTTCATTGGGATGTAACATTGCGAACTTACTGTTTTTGAAATTTCTCACTGTGCAGGGCATATTATCCACAAATGTTTAGCACGGTTTTCCCCAGAAAACTTGCTAAGGCGGTCCACCAGCGGTCCACCGTGTTTTTGTATAAAAAGATGTTAAGCTGACAGGAAATGTAACATTATACTGTGTTTTTATGTTACTGGCAAACATTGTGGACAATACTCAAACCCACAAACAGCAAATATAAATGTTGTCATTTTAAGACAGATGTAGAAATTTAACATTTGTTTATTAAAAATATAAATGCTGTTGAATTTGATTTAGTGGTTTCAGGAAAGATAAAATGATAAATGTTTAATATTTAAATTAAAAATTTTAAGGAGCTGGCAAGTTGACTTTGTAAACATTAAAACAACAATTTTCATAGTTAGATTGTTTTATTACCAGAGCTCCAGTCTGATGCTGAGTTTAATGGTTACGATTGAGCTCTGTATGTTCACATGCACATCTCACTAAGTTACAATTATCACTCTCTTTTAAGGTTGGTCAATTAAACAAGGCCCCTTTTCCTAGAATTTAATAAAGCAATGCAATCCACACTGAGGTCAACTTCAGAGATCAAACTGGACAGCATGTCCCTACATAATTAACAATGCTCACAAGTTCTGGATTATATTTTCTGATTTCTGGAAAAAGGACATAATGACTTAAAGATAATACCTCAAATTTCAACCTTCTGCAAACAATAATCTAGGTTTCACTTCAGCTGCGCCTTGTACTGGTACTGAAACATTTCATGGAATTGCTGAAAAAATAACTCAATCGTTTACTTCAACACTTAGCATTCTAGTTATGTAGTCAACACCTTTTTATGTATTTGTTTATTTAAATACATATGTGACTATTCATCTAATAAAAGACATAAGATTCCTAAGAATTGCTTAAGAAAAATTTGTTTGAAAATTCACTGGGCAGGGTTGTGTGATTCAGAATCTATTATTCACTCAGACACGGTCTCTTACTGTAACCCAATATTTTTGTGTTGCTTTTTATGGATTTGGTTTGGAGTTTAGTGTAGATATATTGTTTTTGTTGACTCGATTAATAAGAAAAAAGGTGAAAACATGACATTTCAAATTGCTTCACTCTCTATTGTTATGTTACAATTCTGTCAAAAAATATTTTCCGTCCAACCTGTTTTGTCACATTAAAGTTAGGAGCTTTAAAGTATTCCATTAGAACTTTATAAGATCGACCAACCCACAGGAGTGGTTAATTGTTAAGCAGAAGGAAGGTTCTGCATGATTTTTACACAATGTGCATATACAGTTTGTTCAGCCCGCTTTATTTTAATACCCACTGGCAACCTGAGGCCCTGGTCTTTAACCATATGGAGGGACTAGTCTGGGGCAGGGATGGGGTCTTGTCCTATTTCTTTATAAAGTGGGGCAGAAATTTATAATTGCTTAAATGATCAGTTACTTTATCAATTATTAGACAACTAATCAATTAATCTAAGATTTAAGATTTTTCATTGAACTATTTAAGCTTATTGTGCACAATGTTAAAAGTATATTCAAAGATGAAAATGAAGAAGTCAATCAATCAAGTTTATTTGTGTAGTACGTCACCTACAAACAAAAATAGAAAGTCAAGAAAACACCATAAAGTCAACAATTGAGAAACCATGAGTGCCATCATCAAGATCATTAATATGTAACTCACAAGGTTACATAATCACAGGAACTTGAGGTCAGATTTTTACTTTATTGTGGTACTAAGCCCCTAAGTCAGGGGTGTCAACATCCAGTCCTCAAGGGCCCCAGTCCTCAAGGGCCCCAGTCCTGCAGCTTTTCGATGTGCCACAGGTACAAAACACTGGAATGAAATGGCTTAATTACCTCCTCCTTGTTCTCCAGAGCTTTGCTAATGACCTATTATTATATTCAGGTGTGGTGCAGCAGAGGCACATCTAAAGGTTGCAGGACACCGGCCCTCGAGGACTGGATGTTGACACCCCTGCCCTAAATCAGCTGGAGCAGGGGTGTCAAAATCAATCCTCCAGTTGCAGCTGGAGGATTGATTTTTTATTTTTTTTTTGGCAGACCCTGATCTGGCACAGACATTAGTCTTTTAATCCTGGAAATGTTCTTCAGATAACAGAAGGCTGACTTTATATCAGTCTTTATGTGTTCAGGTTTGAGTCCATCATTACACCTAGATTCTGGGCTTGATCTCCAGTTTCTAACTGGAATAAATGAAGCTGTGTGCTGACTCCAGATCCAAAAATAAGAACTTCTGTTTTGTTTCTGTACAGTTCAGCTAGAGAATGTTATTGCAGATCCACATATTTACCTGTTCTAAGCATTTGTACAGCACTAGTGGGAGCATATAGATATTGAATAAAAGGAGTCTTCGGGTACCCCACACGTTCGTCATGATTGTTCTTGGTACTTTTTGGCCCACATGCAAACACATTTAGAAGAAGGAAGCAGAATTCAGAAAGTTTATTAAAAAATAAAGATTTGAATGTGGAGTTATGGTCAGGTGGATCAAAGTCAGGAGTGTGTTCAGGAAACTCCTTAGGTTCAGCAGGGAAATACTGACAGCTCTGGGAAGTTGATAGAGGCACATGTGCTGAGATTTAGCACAAAAAAAAAAAATGTTCCAAAGAAATAATATCCAAAATCTTTAGTTCAGACTGGAGTTGATTCTATGCTGCAGGAGCCAACACACTGAATGCTGCCTTCACGTGGATCATGCAAAAGAAAAAACAGTGTTATTAGAGCGTAAAGAATAGGGACTAACAGATTGTTATAGGAGAGAATTTAAGTAGGTTGGACCCAAGGCGAATAGAATTTTATAGATTAGGATCATCAAATACAGGGCCAAGCCTTCACAGGGCCCTAAACAAAATCTGGTTGTGGGGCCCCCTGTTTCTGCTAATAATGTGGAATGCTGCAATCAACAGTAAGATGATTAGATCATTCTAATGCCTGCTATAAACTTATTGCATCACTGAGTGTTGTTATTATATCATAAAAGCATCTTTGATATAGGATACAATTATCTGCCCGCCAATTTGTTGGTGCTGAATTTCTTAATTTTGGAGGGTTGGTTATCATGTGAATACACGTGAAGCCGATTTTAGCCTCTGATAAGATCGGTTTGAATCTCAGCAAAGGTGTAAAAATCAGCCTCTGTTTTCTTCTGCTCTGCAGTGAGAGGTTTGACTGACAGACTGGCCCACCAGGTCACTCACATTTGCAGTTAACAATATTCACTCCACTGTTGCTAACTCAGTGACTTTCTTGCAATATGTAGCGACATTTCAGACATAAAAAAATTGGTATTGACCAAAATAAAAATCAGCAGCTCAAGCTTTTTAAAGATCGGCAACCAGGGATCGGCCGATACAATGAATTTCTCATGGGTTGAATTACAATAGATAAAAGTTACATTTACACCAAGTGAGTCTTTCTTGTATGAGAATGTTTAATCTTTATTAAGGACAGTGCACATTAATGAACAATCAACACTAGTGTATAGACTGTAAATGAGCCAGATTATAGCATAATTGCTAATTTCCATTTGTAGTCCTAGACAAGGAGACCCAAACAACTAGTACTGGACTGATTTTGAGACTTTAAATAATATTAATAGAAATTTCACATAGCTTAGAAACCAAAGTAAAAATAATGTTTTATGAGCCACATAAATTATCAATAGTAAACCAAGCTAAGTGGCCACTTAGTTTGCTTATGCCTTGGACTGATCCTGATCAAGTCATTGTATCTTCGTATGCTAAAACCTCATTCTGATACAAGTCACAATGATGTGTAAGACGCCTGCTACTTGTTACAAACCTGAAAGCACAATGATACACAGTCTTCAAGAACTCAAGGCATTTGGTTGAAGCATTAGTATGCAAAACATCACCATAATTCAGTGGTAAGAATGTTACTGATGTCAATGTTTTTTAGCTTTGAGGATCGTTACAATAATAAAATCCAATCTTCATTTTTAGTGTTTGTAATAGATTTATTTTTATAAAGAAAGCTCTTTATCTGAAATAAAACCAAGATATTTATAATTACTGACAAACTCAATGTTGTGCACCTCGAGTAGCAATTCTCAAAGGAGGCGCCCGCCAGGGGCCCTCCAGAGGTCAGCAGGACATGCTGGCAGAAAAATGTTCAACAATGTGGCGTTTGCTTGAAGGTAAACTTTACCCCTTACAAGCACAACAATACCAGCTTAGACTTTGAGTGACTTGCTAAAAACTGAGATGTGTAACATTGAAAACGGAAATTAAATACCAGAGAGAAACAAAAGAGGACAAACAATAAACTAAGAAAGAATAGTACTAACCAAAGGAAAGTAAATGTAAATGAATGAAGATCAAAATCAATCAATCAAATTTTATTTGTATAGCACATTTCAGCTACAAGGCATTTCAAAGTGCTTTACATCATCAACACAAAGCACAAAGGCATGCAACATAGAATAAAATACCAAGGTTTTTTTTGTTTGTTTTTTTCCCTCCTTTTCTTCCCTCTCCCTTCCCTTTGACACGAAATTTAAGCGCCTGTTACCGCCGGACTCCGCCGTCCGTTTAACCACGGACTAGTGGGAGAATATATTCGCCGGGCCCCGTTGCCCACAACAGGAAAAAAAAATAAATAAAAAATTACATACAAAATCAAATCCATACATATTACATTTCAAATGCAACAGGAAATAATATAATAGCTAATATTATTTCCTGTTATGACCTGAGCTAGTGGGAGAATATAAATATTAAATAAGAGGGGTCCTAGG